GATCGTTTCGTGTCTTAGGACATCAATGTGTCGTAACGAGCCGCAAGGTTTAATTTGGATTTGTCTGTGCATGTTTTTTTTACTCTCATAGATTTTGTTACCATTGCCATGCATTATACGACTGACAGACTGCAACGGTTGGACTTAAAAATCATAATATGTGTTCTACTGAAGAAACAAAGTCACCTCCATCTTGGATACCCTGCAGGGGGTAAGCAGATAAACATCACATTTTCATTTTGGGATGAACTATCCCTTTAAAGCATAGACTGTAAAAAAACAGGGTTAAAGTAGCCCAATTTCGAGAGAAACCCTTGGACCTGGCAACCCTGGTCTGCTACACCACATTATCAACATTACCGTAATGACACGATGATAAGCGCACTCTACTTGATAATGCAGGGATTGTCAACACCCTCTAGTGATTCACAGCACACCTCCAATTATTTCTAATAAATTGTTATATTTAACTAGTTTGTGGACCTGGCAACCCTGGTCTGCTACACCACATTATCAACATTACCGTAATGACACGATGATAAGCGCACTCTACTTGATAATGCAGGGATTGTCAACACCCTCTAGTGATTCACAGCACACCTCCAATTATTTCTAATAAATTGTTATATTTAACTAGTTTTACTATTAAAATGCCAAATCTGTCATATGCTTGTACTCTGGATTAAAACCAGGAACTTGACATGCATACACTGAAATGTCACTTGGCTTTTTGAACAAAAACCTTATTTTACAGCCAGTTTCTGTTAATGCACAGGCTACAATTTAATAAGCTTGAATTTCTTTAATTTTATTAGTGTATTTATTTGCCATGGTGAATATTGTTTCCACCAATATATTAAATATAATAATAAAACCGTTAACACTTTAATCAATAATACAATGAAAAAACCGCAAGATTACGAAGGCTTCATATAATGCAGGAGATACCATATTTATATATTTAGAAACTTAACTGTAGTTACTAAGATACTTTTAGAAATTCTAGTTGCCATGGAGATTTTTCATTTATTTATTTCTTCCATTGTGATTTTTTTCCCCCATTTATTAATTCTTTATAGAGAGACAATGAAACAACACTGTGCATACGTGCATAAGACGTTTAATGAAAAAAGTACACATTAATGAAAATCAAAATAAACCTTGCAGATGCAGAATAAAATTATATTCAGGCTTCACTCTGGGATTAAAGTTCCGTCGCTACGACGGATTTCCGTCAGTTCATAAAGACTTGCTTCATTCCTGAATGAATCAGCCGTTCGAACGAATCAATTGAATGAATGATTCAGTGATAAAATCAGTGACTTGCCGCCACCTGCTGGCGGATTTAGTTTAATTTTTAGCTTAGAATTCAAGTTATTTGAATCATATCTCTGTATTCAAAATTGTATATTAAAAACATTAATCTCATCATGAATTTAATTGCACTCATGTCACCTCTGAGCCTCATTAAACGTCTGAAAATGTACCTA